TCCTCCCTTCCTTCCTTCCCATTTTTTGTGGGACTGGGGTGGGGGGGGAGGGCAGAGGCCTGCCGCCCCTGTCACGGACATAGATTGATCTGGTCAACTCCGTGACACACTGTATCACTGCAACTCAACTAATGGGGATAGAAAGAAAAAAAATTAGTAATAATTTCCAGAGACTGAAATGCATCAGCTCAGAAGTGCTTCAGAGACCTTTCTAAATACAAAAAGGCCATCTCAGAGGCCATAAGGGCATCTGAGAGTTACAAGCAACAACATAAATTAGAAGACCACTGGCAGAAAATATTAGTTGACTGTTAGCAGCCTCTGCAACAGTACTAACATGGCTATGTGACCCAGAAGAAAGAAATGAAAAAAAAGCACTGTCAACTCATCATTAAGGAACCAAAGCACAAATACGTGCATCTATCACGAGTAAACAGCAAGTGACTGCAATCCTGTTTTGCTTGCTTTTTAAACCAAAACATACTTCTATGATATTCAAAAATAAAGCCCCATGAAATTCAGCTACCATAAGGCTAATACACTCTAAATCTTCTACAGCAGACTTCAAGGCATAAACTTCCCCCTTAATATTCACCAAAGAATTAGCTGGGAAAAAAAAAATAAAATCATGATACAAAATAAAATGATTCAAAGGGATGTATTGGTTAAGCCATACACTCACATGCAGTATAAGCCCTCAGGATATATATTTTAAACACTGCTTACTAACCTTCACAGAAGAAAATACAGTGGACATGAAAGAAAACAATAATAATCTGAGTTTAATCGAGTCAGTGCACCTTTTAGAGAGAAAATATGCTGACAGGTCAAGCTGACCTGTTTAGCTGACAGGTTAGTTAAAGTACTCATTTTAAAATAATACTAAATTTATTACATATAAAGAACACTAAGTGATAATACACTTAGGATCATTAAGTGGATTCATACAGATAACTAAAAGTTTTTGCTTGTGTATTCACTTCTTAACTATTTTTCTATATGTGCAATTACCAGTCTTTGTAGGAGTAGGCATTCATTTGCCAAGTTATGAATTTTGGTATAGGCTATGTAATTCATATCTTTGTATACAATTTGTTATCACATACCCAGGTGTCTGCATGAATCGGCCTGATGTTGCTGAGAAGCACCTCTTCATAATTTCCATAGTCAGAGAACTTAACAACTGCAGTCATTCCAGAAGAATGGAGAGCTTCAACTTCCGCCCGGTAGAACTTAAAAGAGAAATTTTTGAAGGTCAAAAAATACTACCTGATGTGCCACAGTTTGAAAACAGTCTCTTCATTTTTACTCTCCTCCCCATTCTTTTTCTTGGTCAGCATTAAATTTTCAGTAAAATTTGTAGCAGATAACTGTATATTAAACTTTCACGTGTCCCATGACTGAAAGGTTGTGGCTGTATGTATTTACAATACTCACTGAAAATATATGCTACTTAGGACATTAGACTGAACATTTAAAAGATCTGTTTTCAAATACAAATTAATCATTAACACAAATGATGTTATATATAAGAAATACTAATGCAAGACTTTCTTTTTAATTATTATTACTGTTTAAATATATGCCAGATAGGCACTTACTTGCACATCTAATACGTAACTATTTCTCCACATACTAAAATATGATCGTTCAAAAATTCTTCCTTTCTTCAACACTTTCTTTCTCTCACTTATGCAAAGAAATCGACTGTTTCTGCAGATGTTTTTCTTATTGAATGCAAATAAATCGTTATCACATAACATGATTAAAACTCAAAACCGTATTTTATCATTCTATTTTAAAATTATCCTAGATGCAAGCAGCAGCATTTGTTGTAGCTATTAAAAAAACAACCATCATTGAAACACGCTGAATACTTTCCAGGCAGCAGTGTTATATTTGCTTATTTTGCAAGTTTTATGCTTTTTAGAATTTCAGCAACACATAGTGACATAAAGTGCTTCTCAAGACAGGAAATAATTCCTCAATATGCCATTACATTTCAAACAAATCCATCTATCCAAGGTATATATTCATACTTAAGCTCCAACTCGCTACATGTTGCTGCTATCAAAAAATTTGCATGACTTTTCTCAGTCAAATAAAAGAGAGAAATAAAGTGATGCTGCTGAGCTAACAGTATCTACATCCTGTTAAAAAAAAAAAAAAAAAGGAAAAAGGAAAAAAAAACTTTAATAGCATAAAATTAAATAAAAAAAATTGACAGAAATGAATGGAATAAAACCTACGCAAAAAACAGTAATATTTCAGGTCACCAGAAAGGGTCAAAAACCTGAAGAAACAACTAAGAAGTGCACAAAGAATGCCTGAAGAGAAGACAACCTTTTTTTTTTTTTTTTCTTTCTGTAAAGCAGAGGAGGAGGAGATAAAAAGAAAGTCTCTTGTCATAAAAAAAATCTTATTAATTGGAAGAGAGAGTACTTAAGCTTTGAAAAAAATCAGTAAAATAGAACTGTCATGCATCACACTTCATTTGCTCCACAACTCCTTCAGCTAACAAACTAATATTGATAATAAAAATCAATAAAAATAAAAATAATAAAAATCAAAGGAATTTCTTTTAAACAGTTCCATCCCTGCAGACTCTGGTCCTTTCTTGTACTAGTGAAGACTGCACAATATCTTATTCTAGTAAAAGGCATTACACATCTATAGTTAGAGACCACTCTGGATAACACAGCATCCTGGGCTTATTCCTTAGAAAGTAACAGGGGCACTTAGACCCATATTAATTCCTTCAAATTTTAAACACTTACATGAAATATGTTTCAGTTAGGAGCCTGTTTTTCCCGTATGAGAGACATTGTCAAGGTGATCTGAGTCACATACTTTCAAGAAATCAATACAATCTACATATCTCCTTTTAAAACAAACAAACAAAAACCGTCTCCTCAACCCCCCAGAGAACTCCCCCCAAAAAACAAAACAACAGTAGAACAAGAAGCCATCCACGAAGCACAGTATACACCTATGAACAAAGCCCTCTGTCTTTGTGCTGGTGTGCTAAGTCACCCTCAAGTACATAGGAAAGCATCAAAACTTTAATTTGAATTACTCGATATTTGGCAAACACATACCTTGTTGTCTTCCCAATAAAGAGCAAAACATTCATCCCCAGGTCTCCAGGTTTTTCCATACTCTGCATGAATTGATGGTTCTATTATTTTCTCTGGTTTGATGGGCCCAGATCTCCTTTTGGGTGCAGAGTTGTAATACAAAATCTTGTCATCATAAGATGGAATCACAGTAGGTCCTGACAATTTGATTGGCCCTACTCGTCTTCCTTTTTGATGATGTTCTGTATCTCCATTCGGTACAGAATTAAAATGATCAGTTCTACCAGGGTTTTGGAAATCATTATTCACACCAAAATGTTGCTCACTTTTTACCATAAAGGTTTCATTACTTATTGTTCGTGCTTTCCTATCACAAAAATTTTCAGAATTGTGTATTTGATTTTCCCTTTTCCCACGTTTCTGGTTATTATTGTCTGTAGTATCTTGAACAGCAGAGTTCTCCTTGAATTCTGTGAAAGACACCCCTTTTCCTATTCTGTTTTGTATATTGTTATCCCTTTTTTTAAAGGAAATATCACTCTGGTGAGCAGCTATGGGATAACTCAAATCCTTTGGCCTATCATTTCTAGGATAATGTCTGTCACTTTTAATTTTGTCCTCTGTCCAATGTTCTAAAGAGTTGTGCCTTTCAGGACCTCTGTTTCTTGGTAATCCCCCACTTTCCAAAGCCTGCCTTGAATTCTGAATATCTCTTTGAAAACGAGGGGGCTTCTCATTCCTTGGTTGTCTCATGTCATTGCGAGAAATATGCCTTGAATGATTTTCTTTGATGCCATTCTGTTCTGTATTCATAACTTTGGGCTGTACTTGATGTGGTGGTTGAAATTGTAATTTTGGTTCTATAAAAGAGAAAAAAATATGATTTTATATATATATATAATATATATAATATAGAAACAGTGGATCAGATCCTAAATGATAAAGCAACAGTATTACTCACAAAAGCAAGTAGCATTTACTTCTCAGATAAATAAATTGGAACTGTCCTTTTAAGTTTAGCAGATATTTGAATTGCAATTACTGGTTAATAGAAAACATACACATTTGTCTTGGTGGTACTTAAATTAGTTATTATTAAATGAGTAACAATCATTTAAGAAAGACAAATAGAATTCTGATGTGAAGAAAGGAACAGGCAGGAAAATTAGGAGAGAAAAAAGGAATAGCTATTATCTGAAAATTTTAATTCAGTAAAAATAAATTGCTAACAGCTGTTCAGCATTAACATAAAGGCAAGAAACAGAATCGATAAAATGAACTAGAGCTAATGGGAATAGCAAAAATGTCCATAATTCTGAAGACCGTGATCAATGAGCCATAGCAGGAATTATTCAAGTGCAACCATTTGAGTCAGAACTTTAACTGACGTTAAGTGGAACAAAGTTATCACGGATCTAATGGAAAGGAGTAGATTTTCTATTGCACTGTGGGGCTAGAGAAGATCACGGAGTTCTGTAGAACTTACTGTGGTTTTTTTAATTTTATTTTCAGGCAAATGTGAAATGTTTTAACTTTTTATGAAAGATTTAAGGGAAAAGCCAAAGGAGGTTGTAGAGTAAGATGAATCTAAGAGGAATAAGCACAAGAAACAAATGAGCTGAAACATGACATTTGTGACAGAAAAGGCTCTTACTGATACCACAGAATTTCATTTCAAAATTAGTGATATTAAGGGAAATGATCTCTGGGCAAAGACTTAAGAATAATACTAGAGAGCAAGAAAAACTCTGCCAAGGAAATGTTTATAAACCTTTGTATTTGTTCAGCACATCCTTTTGTCATGCACCTTCTGCAGAGAACAAGCATTCCCGTGAGCAAAGCAGTAACTGAGTTAGGTGGGATGCTCACATCTGGTGTAAGTGGAGGCAAAAGTCCACAGGACAGCAATGTTATATAGCACCATTCAAACCACTACAGAAGTATTGTCTGTAATTATGGAATGCATAGCTGAAGAAAAAAAACGATAAATGAGTTTGCTCAGAAAAGTGAAAAAGCAGTCTGGAAAGAGGTTTTCAATCAGATACTACAAAAATGCAATCCACACAGCTAACATTGCTAGCTGATGGATAACATACAGGTAATTACATTTTATAAATATCTATTAGGAAAGCAAATTTTGATAGCTCTCTACATAGCAAAAAAGACTTATTACGCAACAATTAAACAGTTAGAAATTGAGTGTAGAAAAATCAGTTTAGATATTAAAGGCTTTTTTTTTTTTTTTTTTTTTTAAATGCTGGTCTTTAATTGTTGAAGCAATTAACCTTGGAATAGAATAATTTCACCTCCTTTACATCCAAGCTGCACTTTCAAATCTATATTTCAGTCAAAGCCTAGCTGTTGGTGCAAGAAACAGAGACTATAGCCTGTGACTTGCTCCCACCTCCCGAGTTCTTTTAAAAAGACTACCTAGACGTGCCACCTCTCACTTGCTTTTTCTGTGATCCCATTTTTTTTTGCGATTTGTTGCTCGGGAGATTCATTTTAACAGCAAGAGCATGAAACATTCACCAGAAGCTCAGCATGTTCATCTGGAAGGCTAAAGAGGCAGTTCTGCACAATCTGAAACTGAAGATATCTGGGTTTGGGTCAATGATGTGATCAAAAATATCATTATGTTTATCACCAACTCTCCTACCTAATAATTTAAAAAAAAAAAAAAAAAAAAAAAAAAAAACAACAGTAGTTGTTAAATTTAAACTTTCTCGAATCTTTCAAAAGTGTCTGAAAGTTTTTTCTGAGTTTGGATTTTGAGAAGATAGAAGCAACAGGTTGTTCTCAGACCCTAAGAACCAAAGAGAGATACAGAAGGAAAACATGCCTGGTCCTTAGCAATTTTATATTCTTCCTTAAATAAGTCAGAGCTCTTGATACTATTTGTTCTCTGAAAGTTCCTGTGCTTACATATTTAAGCTCGCAAAGATGGATGAACTGTTTCTTGTAACCAAAGAAAAACAAGAAGATTAATAGAAAAATCCTTGTGTTCAGTAGCAGAAATAAATGAAGTGCAAGCAAAGGAAGACAATTTCCAGAAACTTTGTCAACTATTTCTGTTATCTCTCACAGTCAGAAGGCTTCTCAGTACAACCCAAACTGAAGCTACTTATTTTCAACACAAATATTTTCAAAAGATGGCATCAACCATTCATAGGTAAAAATAAATAATACCTAAACCTGCAGTATTAAACTGTTGTGGTTCTTCTTGGTTTGTTGTTTTTTTCTTTAGAATTCTTTGCATTTCACTTAAATGATGAAATATTATGTTTAACGATTAAGGAATTAGTAGCTCATGCAAGAGACTAACCCATAATACTTTTGACAGCACTAATTACTTAGAAGTAAAAAAAAAAAATAAAATATTTCAGTAACTGAAAAAATAAGAAAAGCCCACAAGATAGAATGGTAAAAAGACTAACACACCGTATTTTAACTTGTGTTTGTTAAATAACTAAGCAAATAGAAAACTATTTTAACTTACACATATTTTTCCACTTCGTCAGAATTAAATTAGAGAAAACCTACCAAAACAATGACAACAAATTGAGCAACTGGTTTGTAGTATCTCAGAACGTCATAGGAGGAAAGGATCATAAAAACCATCTAGCTCCAATCTCTCTGCCATAGACAGGGTTGCCACCCTCTAGATCAGGCTGCCCTGGACACCATTCGACTTGGCCTTGAAATACCTCCATGGATGGGGCATCCACAACTTCTCTCAGCAATCTGTTTTAGTGCCTCACCACACCCCTGTCCCCACCCCCCCTTCTTCTAGTTTAAAACTGTTTTCCTTGTCTTAGTACTACCTGGCCATTTATCTGTTCACAAACAGAAGGACCTAGCTTAGTAATTGCAGATTCAGAAGTGATTTTAGAAGTTCTCAATAATGAGTAGTAATGAGGTTTCAGACAGAATTAGAAAAACTAAAGCATGGAAAGATGCACATAGAAAAGCAAATCAGTGCTCTCTGTGACAGCGCTCTTCTCTATAGATCAAATGAACTATTTCAGAAGAAAAAGTGATGCTGCAAAGAATTAAAAAAAAAAATAATAATCTATCCCAGTTCAGAAGAATTGCTTTCTGTTTTTTCTTCTGTGTGGACACTGAATCATTTAGGAGAAATTAATATCTGCTTGAAGAGTACAGAAGCCTAACACTTGTGATGATGATAAACATGGCATCCCAGGTAGGTAACTATGTGCTTGGTCATATGCTCCATTATACAACTATATATAAAACTTTGTTTCTAACCAAAATGTGTCTCTCAACATCTAAAAAGAAAAAAACTGGCATTTTAGAGACCATATCAGACAGCAACATGCCAGAAATTCTGCAGAAGAATTAAACTTCTTTATTCAGTGGAAGTTGTATGATGTCCTAGGTAAATGCAGAAAAACCTGCCTGCCTGGGCCTTCCACAGTACAGCTGCTTATTAGAAAAACCAATTACGAGATCTTATTATCTTGGTGATACGATGTTATGTATTTAGTTGTTTCTAGTAGTTCCCCTAATGTGCATTCTACCACCACTACCTTTTTAATACTAAGGATTAGATACAAGTCTCTACTGGTAACTTACAGGACCAGATGAAATGAAAAAGCTGCTGGTAATACATACACCATTTTCTGCAAACACTTGGACACACATTTCATGAAGAAAAAATTCAAAGGGGTAAGTATAATCACTGTAGGTATACTGTGACATTGCAAACACTGAACGCTCGTGTCACCTAAGCTTGAATGGGCATGGCAATATTTCACCTTGAAAGGAGATTAAGGCAGTAATATTTAAAAATTTAAATGAATTAATTTTCAATGACAACAGAGGCATGAAAATGGCAGAATAGTAGCATTTTCAGTAAATGGTTTTCTAATAAGTGAATTCAGATTGCATGGGTTTTCTTAAACTTAGCAAAGAAATCTGAGATTTCTGAGAGAGAAAAGCCACCTGCAATTTAGTATAAGCTTAGGTATTTCTTGGAAAGTCCATTTGAAGGGCAGTCTGCAAGATAAACTGAAGTCTGGTATAAGAACCAAGGCATGCCCCTACGGAACTGACACATTCAGTAAGGAAAATAAAAAATGATTCAATGAAACTAAGCTGTCTAAAGCCTGCTGACTTCCAAATAACAGGAAGTACAATTATATTTACTATTGTTTCTGTAGAATGAAAAAAGGAGTTTTCTATTTAAAAAAAAAAAAAAAACAAAACAAAACCCTAAAGAATATTTTCAGCTCTTCAAAACTGATAATGAGAGAATGTTTTTTTGTGGATTTTGTTTTTGTTTCTTTTTTTGCTTTCAGAAAGCACAACTCAAGAAAAGCACACCAAATTACACACTGATCATTCAGGGAACACAAAAAAAAAGTTTAAAAAAACAAGGAATCTGAGTGTCACATCACAAAACGTGTCATATTTTTGGACAACTGAGCCTGAAGTCTTTATAACTTTATGTAGAACACCACTTTTCTTCTTATGACATTTATGAAAACTTTTTATCTTTCGTTAAGAGGGGAAAAATTGCACAAAGCAAACTGTATTTAGGTTTATAGTTTCCATTTATGTGTTTTAAACTGAAATAGATCTGCTACTATAACAATTGTTTTCTAATGAAAAAACACCACGCTTTAATACACTACAGTATATTGGCTACACGCACACTAAACCAAAAGAATCATAAAACTCCTGCTAAGCAAACACTCACCACACACCAGCAATATCATTTTAAAAGAAGCAATTCAATTCTTTCATGGTTCTTAGTAAACTACTATTACTTACTGTTAAATTAGTAACAACAAGAAAGGCATATATCCCACAGGGATTATTTTTGATTATTTTTCCTTTAAATGCCGTACAGCCACACATAAGAGAATTCTCTCAATATCTAAACCTCTCTCTAATCTCTTAGATAAGATATCCAAGAACATATCCAAGAAAAATCAATGTGTGCAATGCAAGAGGAAAAAGCACTACCACTGCTCCATTTTTATTCACTGCAGAAATCTACTTCATTTTTGTTCAATAAAATGAGCTGCCAAAAGATAGATCTCAAACCTATTTTTTTATATATGCTTATGAAAATACAATTTCGAAATTACTACTTGAACACGATTTTACAAAATTTGATCTGCTCATGCAGAATGCTTCTCTATTTGAAAGGGATTTTCTTCCAAGATTTTAAATTTCTGGAAAATAAGGTGAAGAGGCACGATACAAATGCTCCATCTACCACTAATCGAGTCTAATAAACAAAGTCTTAAGACTGTGGATACATTCCATAAATGAACTATAAACAACACAAGAAAAGCAACTCCAATATATATTTTTTCTCATTTTCTACTATTTCTGTAAGAACTAGGACCAAGTAAAATATAAACCAATAATTAACTACTTAAAAACACTTAATTTATAGGGAGAAAAAGATGCTGATATAATGAAACTCACACAGGAACAACCATAACATGATAATATATATTTGCTATTAAAAGAACTATAAACTGTTGCAATTATTAAGTGAATGCTTTTCTGCTAATAGCTAAACTGCAGCACATCAAAAATGTTTGGTGAACTCTGACATGGCTCACAGTCCATATAACTGTACCTTCCTAGCAAGAGACCTCTGGATTTGCTAGTAATTTCACTGACTCCTAAGCTCACCTGCTGACAACACATCTTCTTTGACAAAATGAGTGTCCTCTCTTTCCTGCTGACCCCTCCTTGAATGAAAAACATTTTCTGTGCAGTTTCAAAGACTGAATTTCTAAACTTCTCTGCATTTTTTTTCATTTGAATAAGCTGAAACTTTATTGCTAAGGACTTCCAGAACTATTGGAACATATTAAAGCAAAACATAACTCTGCACATGCAAGTAGTGACTGTACATGTTCAGCTTCAAAACCAACTAGCAAAAATAATGATCAGGGAAAAAATGCTATGCTTTTAAAGGAATCAGATAGTTTTAATAATTCCAACAGAAAACTGAGGTCTCAATGCCCTGACCCACTCTACACAGCTTCATGTTTTCATTTCTAACTCAGTAATGACTCTGAGACACAAGTACACAATATTAAGCAACTAACTGTAAATTAATTGTTTCATTTTTGTAACAACAACAAAAAAAGACACTTATACACGATAACAAAAATTAACACATTCAACAAGACATCTCTGGCATCATTTGAAATTTCCTGCATACCTGTAACAGCCAACAATTTCAACCTTTTCACCAAAAATTTAACATCAGTGCCCCCAAACCCATTTGTATACATTTGTTATAAATTATAATTATACATTTACTATGATTAAATGTATACACACATATACAGACACACACCTACATATATATCTATATACTTTCAGAAGTCAATGACATAAACTAGTGCTTTATAAATTCCTATTTTCCTCCCATATTTAAGCAATTTCTCTGTTCCAATTCAAATCAAACATTCACAAAGGGTCCCTGTGTAAGATTAGATTACTTTTCAAGTATTGTCATTACACAGTTATTTGCACTTCCATCACAATCTCTGCGAATTGTGTGTCATGTCTTTTTAGGCAGAGCTCACACCTGGCAAGAAATTACTGGAGATACTGGTGAAAAACAGCAGTACGTCCTTTTCAAAATGGGCAATACATAACACTGCATTGAATGAAACGCTTCTAAATCTGTGAAATAACAAACCAGAACTCCAGACAGAAAAGTCTCAGTAGTGGTGAAGAACAAGCTAGTTGTATCAGTCTTGAAGGCTGATTTACCCTGAATATACACGTATTCTTCTGTCCATCCTGATTTTTCTATACTCTCATTTTTTAGCAACACAAATGCCTCTGCCAACTTCCGCACAATTCTAGCAGTCTTTAATAGATTAAGAAAGCTTTGTTTGCACACACTTAATTTTCAGTTAATATTTGTAATTTACAGCCTGAATCTTACAGAAAAAAAAAAACAAACAAACAAACAAAAAAAACACCACTAAGGGCTCCAAATTACAAGTAGATGAAAAGGCAATATAGGAACTCTCTTAATATTATCAATGGCCATTTGGAAGGTCCCTGACAGGCTAAAGCTCTATTTTTTTCGTTTGAATTGGAAACAATTTTATTCTTCAGCTTTACTGTTTAAGTTCTCATACAAGTATTAATTTTTATGAAATGGACATCTCATTTAGAACATTCTGCAGTTTTTTTCCAGTGTTTCTCATATGGGTGCATTATTAGCTATTTCTGAAATTTTAAATCAATTCTGAAACATTACAGCTTGTCAGTAACAGATCTCAAAAGATGGCCTTAAAAAAAAAAAAAAAATGGGCAGCAGAAAAAATGAATTGGGCATTGCAATAGGAAAATAAAACTAATAATTGTTTTCACCATTGAGTTTTTTTTTGTTTTTTTTTTTTTTTTTAAAACTTCTTTTGTTCAGTTCACGCCACTTTTCAGCGCAACACTTCTTTTTTAATTATATCCAGTGAAAGTACACAAAGTATTATTAAGAAACAACGGAGACTATTTGGGAACTCAGTTTGAAATTATTATATATAAATGCTGAGACTCCTTAAATGTACTCACTAGAAAACACCAGTTCATGTAAATTAGTATGACCATTATTTCACTCTTTATTAAAGTGTCATTTTATAGGGAGAAAAAAATTCCAGCTCCACACAAAACTTGACATTAAATAATGGAAACAGATATTTCAATTTCACATTGCCTACTGAAACACTTCCAAGGCAAAATAACAATCTTCTTTTAATACTCAGCTTACTGTGAGTTTTACTTCAATCTCACAGCAGCCTCTAGAGACCTCAGGATGTATAAAGTGTAAACTTTTTTCGTTCTAATGGATCTCTCTGTTAAAACTTCCAAAGTATGAAGTGATTTAGACATAACCAGATGTCTAGATTTGTACAATGCATTCTTTTATTGCTTCTCAAAAAGAAGAGGACATTCAAGTAAAAGCCCACATTTTTTGTGCTAGATCTTAAACATTGTTTGGCTTCTCTCTGTCTAAAATACCACCTCTTTCTCACTCCCTACAGTTATTACACAAGAAAGCTATGAGGAAAAGGCTGTTGAATATATTATAGTAAAATGGGGGTTTGTTTGATTGGCAAATAAGAGAGAATAAAAAACCTACTTAGCTTACTGCTCTTAACTGAGCACCACACAGAATGTGCTGTTTAGAAAGTGAGGCTTAGAAACTGGAAAGAAACTCCTGTTTAGAAACTGGAGTTAGCAGTTTTTCCTTTGAACTACAAGAATGCCCAATAAAGTTGCAAGTGTCTTCATCTAATTATTATTATTAACTGGTATTTATCTAATTAGATTTCCAAATTACTAACCTCTAGGTACTTAAGCATGAAGCTATCAGCTTTTTGACAGCCAAGACAGAAACACAATCAACCACAGTGCAATTTATTTGACCTTTCTTCAAAGAAGAGGAAAAGCTCTCAAGCACTCTTTGTTTTTCTGTTGACTGTGGCCAAACTTATAGAAGCCAGTTTCTAGATAAAGAAGAAAAAAACCACCAACTCCGCCAAATATTGATTCCAGATACTTCAATTTCAATAACTTACCCTCTACAGTTAAAGTACCCATTTTGGATTCTAAGAAATCAAACAGTGTGCTTGGTGCAGACGGTCTGGTATTTCCTAGCTCTTCCTCATCTTCAGGTCTTATACGGCCTCGGCCCTTTCCTTTACCTGTAAACATTAAACAGACCTTTTTCAGGGGTGAGGGAAGAGGGAAAAAAAAAATAACCAAACATTTTTTCATTATTAGACTTAAATTACAACAATTTTGTACTCTGTTAAAAAAAATCTATTGCAATAGAGATATTTTCCATGTAAGGTGATTTCAAATCCAGAAATACTGTAAAGGGGAAAATACACAGAGGCCTTCTCTAAGTATTCTCTCTCAGGTTTACAATGCATTTTAACTTGTTAAAAAATGTAGATTTACTTTACTTAAGTTATATACATTACTAATACATGGTAAATAAATTCTTTTGCTCCTGAACATTTCGTTTTAAGGCTCATCTTTGCAAGTTGTACCTCTAGGTGGTGGTCCCTGAAGGGGCTTTTGTTTACTGCTGTTCAGAAGAAAATTTAATGCTGCCTCTAGGTTGTTACTGTTATCCATAAGTGCCTGTCTTGCTGCTTCTTTACTGAAGCCCATCTCAGTTATGTGTTTTAGAGCCTTTTCATCAACCTGTAATAAAAACAAATAATCATAAGCTACCACAGACTATAAAACCACCAGATATTACTTTAACCTTTCATTAATAATTGCATTGATGATAAACATTTTAGATTAACATATGGCATTCATAGACAAGTTCTCTTTTAGTTCTAAACAACTAGACAGTAGAGACTTCTTTTTCGAATTATTTTTGCATAACTTGATTTTTTTTTTTGTTCTAATAGTAAGCAGTTTCAAGCAGAAATTCCTCTTTTCTACCTCTTTCTTCATTGTGCAGTGGAACAATCTGACAGACTATAACATACTTCCTCTTCAACGAAAAATAAAAGGACTCTGAGTAGTATTAATGTAGTCTTCATTTCTCTTTGAACCCTTTCACAGCATTTATAAACAACACCAAAAGTGGTTACACATTTCTTAAAACAAGGAGAAGATGTTATCTGAAAAGGTTTCAGTAGAAACAAAAAATACAACCTCCCTCTTCTGAACTGTACATAGTATGATCAGAAAAAGGCCAAGCAAGAATCACAGACTGTGCTTAAAGGCCTCAGCTGGGACTGCCTCTTTTAGTGCTGACATGCATTAAAATGGAGCCAGGTTTTCTGCCTTTCCTCATCCCACACCCAACCCAAATGATGCCAATTATCTATCTACTACAACAGCATTACTAAAACTTCCCCTGAAGTCTCTATCCATTCACTTTCTGTTCAGCTACACTATATGCTCTGGGACAAGAGCTATAAGCAGATCTCCTATCTGGGCAGTGGCATCAAACTGGTGTCCATGGCTATTGCTTCAGTTCAGAGAGTTAAGTAAGCCAGGAGATACAGCAACTCTAAGAACTTCAAAAACTGTAATTTGAAACCCAAAAATCACTGTAATGAGCAAGACATTCTTATGTTAACTGCTTTCATGCTCTTAATTTCACTTAATTTCAAAATTTAACAGTATTCTTCAACTTAATGTCCACAGATTGAATACCATTTAAAACATATTCAAAATCCAGTGGCACTGAAACACGACGTGAATGCCTATATGAGATCATCAATGCACTTGAATTCAATTTTCAGTTGCCCAAATAAAATCTTACTAAGGCAGTATAATGGTTCTTCATCTGAGCCATCTGCTGAGATTTCTGTGCATGACAACAAGGATCCAACACAAAAAATTGCTGCTTTCTACTGCCTCAGCAAGCTGCTTCACACTTCTCCCTCTTGAAGATATATAGCTGCTTTGAATCAGGAGAGAAATTTCAGCTTGTTCTATATCATTGCCTTTCACTGGTGGGAATCCAGTTCATGACAGTTATGTTCATCAAAGACTAGCAAGAAGTGAGGGCTCATATGTACACTACTAGTACTCTAAGCAATGGATTAAAAAAAAAAAATAAATTTTGTCAAAACCTGAAACCCAAAGGAAAAGAAATTTCTCAGATACGAAGACTGAAAAATGAAGGAATATCCAGACTACCTTTGGACATCAAAAACTTTCCCTTTAACTCATTTACATAGCACAGATATTGCTGGTTCTCTCATAAAGAACTGGAATGGAAAAGATACACCCTACAAGTCTGCACAATCTATTGTCTGTCTGCACAGAAATAGGAGAAACCACTATTTTGTGTCTTTTTCTGTGACACGGTGTTTCAACTTTCTCCTAAGGCAACACACTGGACAGATGGAATAAATACATTTACTCTTTCTATATTTACATGCAAATTAACTACATGCATAAACATTCAAATCAACTCCATATCACAGTCCTACAAACAACCAAAAAAAGACCTCTTATCTGCTGCTAAAATCATCATTTACAACTGAAGGAGGCTGTCTAGACTTGGTAGGTTCATATTCCTTTAAACAGCAAAGTACATTAACTGACATTTAGCTTGAAAAAACTGGAAGTACTGCCATTTTACAGTACATTGTAAAACAAATCCCCTGCAGATCATAGAAAAATAGAAAGTAAGTACTGCCCAACTTAAATGGAAGAAGGCCACTGGCGGTTTTTTTTCCTTTGCTTTTAAAGTCTACTATGTAGATATAGCTGTCAGTAATGACAAAGGATATATTAAATAGAAGGATGATTAAAAGACCCTTTAACATCCATGTTTGTACAATTCTACATATAAGTCTTAATGGATCTGTATATTTTTCAGCATAGTGCTGAAGATAGCACTGCTGGAAGCTCTCCAAGTTGTAAGGAGATAGCACCTATCTGACAATCAAAATTAAAATAATCACTTACTGTTCTTAGATGTCTTCTAACTGTTAAATCTTTGGTAAAAGTAAAGCAAGGTGGAAGACATTTCAGCTATTTATTGTTGAATCTACAGTCATTTACAGTCAATATTTTAATACTGGTTCACTGAATTATTAAGTAGTGAAATCAATTTCAGTCAGCCTGCTTTCATAATTTAAATCATATTCATTAATTGTTATTGTGTACTTGGGATTAACTCTCCCACTTACATCAAATTCATAGATTGCTAAAGCAAGTGAAACATACTTCAGTGACTCATCTTATACCCAATTAATTCAGTGCAGCAATGTTAAAAAATTCTTCTCAGTAAGCACGAAATTATGAAATGCTCTGAAAGTGATTGCTTGGAATTCTGAAGTACAATTCAGATTCTCCAATGGTAACTCTTTTTACTCAAAGCATTATTTGCAACTACGTCAACATTGCATAGAAGTATCACAACAAAAGTATTTCTATTTCAGCACTTTCAGTGTCACAAGTACAATTTTGTTTTCTCAATGTCAAATGAATGGTTTAAAATTCTTAATATAAATATTAATTCAGAAGTTACAATGATATTTCATTTGATGCACTGAAATCAAAGGATGAAAGTCGTCTTGCCTACCATGAATTAATAACTGTTGATGTGAAAGAATAGTGAGCTTATTTGAAGAACAAAATTAAAACAAGATTGTAATGACCTATACAATACAAAGAACTACTTTTCTTTTGTGATGACATGAAAAGAACATTAAAACTTCACAAAAATCACATTGAATCTCAACTACATCAGAAGGACACAAAAGGAAAGCTCTTATTCTTCAGGGTTTTTTGGTTTAATTTTTGTTATTTTTGCTTTTTAATAACAGAGTTTATGGTTCTATTTAAATCTTACACCTTACCAGTTCTCTGTAGACACCTTCATTTTTTCCCTCAGGTTTTGTTATCTTCTCTTTCTGGAAAAGTTCCCTGTTTCGATTCCCTCCAGCACTTACACTAAGATTACTTCTGCTGTTACCACCACCTCCTCCGAATGTCTTGGTCTTTAGATGAGCACAAAAATAACATTTTAGCAAATGGAACTCAGGAAAATAAGCCTTAATATTTAGCTATTACAAGAAGAGTAGGACATTTGATGCAGCTGTATTTGTAACAGTTATACTTTGCACCAACAAGTAAAGCTCTGATCTACACACATACACCAAAAAGATTAATTTATTAGGTAGGACTTCTTGATTATTACCTGACGCCTAATTGAGGCTCTCAAAAGTGTACATAATTCTAGTTTTTTATGAGTTATCAAGCAAATCATAAAAAAAAAAATCATAATTTCTATATCCTGAAATAGAAAGCTACAGGCAGGCAGAAAAATCTGGCACATTCCATCAGGTGGAACAGAGAAAATCACAGGATTTTCAGAACCGGAAAAAGCAAATCAGTTTCAGAAACCTGTTTAATTTTCTTAGTTTATATATATATTTTTAATAGAGGTAGCAAAATAAAAATCATATCTACAATAAAAAATTATGATACATTTGTTATTTTTATTCAAATAAAAACATACTTAGCAATCTGAAAAGGTTCAGTTTTTGGCTCATTCTTAAAGACATACATGAACAGAATTTTAAGAAGGCAAGCAAAGTACTAGTCTGAGGAGACAAATACTGAAAATAACAAGAAAAGATCAATTACACAAAGCAAAATGCTACAAATGCATTCTAACCTCCTTGCTCTTCGCTACTTCTGCGATGGCAGCTGTTCTTTGTTTTTCAAATTCATCGTTGTCAGCAACAGGTTTTGCAGTATTTGTCACTTGCAGAGTCTTTCTGCGATCAAGCTCTCTGCTATCCACTTGCATGTGAGATGCACATTTCTGACAACACAAAGTAAGGCTTTAATTAACTCTTATCTACTCCCACTTGCAAATAAATAAACAAACCCAAAGCATTATTCCGCTAAAGTAGTACAACTTAAGAAAAAGAACACAACTGTGGACATCTAGCTGCCTTTGCCAGTGTTACTCATCCACCAGAGATGCCAAAAAGAATGACTTTCATACTTTCAACATATTTCATGATACAGCTAATATGATTCTTGTAAGTACCTTTGTCGTTTAAGGGTATTTGTTGGTGTTTCCAAGATACTGTAGTAAGAGTCAAAGATCCCGTAAACCAAACAAAATTTTTAGGTTTGAAACTGTCAATTTATATTTAATATTTTTCTTTCAAAGTGTCAGGATTGAAACCTATATCTCCTCTTCTCCTCTCCCTTTAAACAAGATTTTTTATTTATTTATTTTAATTCAGATCATCACAATATGAGGTATCTTGATAGCCTTTATCTAAATGGAACTAGCTCTCTCTATCCTATCTCCTAATACAGATTGTTCCATTAAACATCATCATGGCTATAACTTGTATGCCATCCCCAAATTACAAAAAAATATACTCTACCTGCCCAAAAGGCAAAAAAGGGGGAGGGCCACCTTCTGTTCCAATATTACTCCTACTGTGTTTTGCTAAACTCTGTAAAAAAAAAAAAAAGTTGTTGATTAAGAAACTGCAAACAAAAATATTATTTGATAGATATCAGCATTGCAGAAAACACATAAAATGTCCAAGACAAATATTTTAAGCATGACAAATAAAATATTTTACATTTAAAATCCTAGGGCAGTTCACGTAAGAATGTAGAAGGCTGGATGAGGGGCACAGAGAAGAAGAAAACACTCAAAACTGCAGAATCATCAAAGCAATAGATACAGCAAATGCAGAAAATTGAGTTTTATCCCAATTCTACAACAATAGAGCAAGGCAGTACACAAATAGGTAGCAGATTTTTTTATATGTATTTACAGCACCAGACATTTGCTTCTACAGGAAGCCATAAATACAAAGTTTTATCAGGTTTAAATAGGCTTCATACAAAGTGAGCCTAGGGAAGAGGAAGGTCTTACTGACTTTATCAAGGTACACAAGTACCTGAAAGGAGAGTGTGAATAAGACTTCAGGCTCTTCTCAGCATTGCCCACTAACAGGACAAGAGGCAATGGGCACAGAGTAAAACCCAGGACGAGCTGTATTATGTGAAGGTGACTGAACACCAGTACAAGTTGTCCAGAGAGGCAGTGGAGTCTTCCTCCTTGAAGACCATAAGTTGACCTAGCATCAACGTAGTCCTCAGCAACCTGCTCTGGGTGCCCCTGCTTGAGCCAGGGATTGGATCATGTGACCAATCTCCAGAGGTCCCCGATAACCTCAAACGTTCTGTTTACATTTAGGTTCATCAATTATACAAATACTGAAAAGGATTAGTTAGCATACTACAACAACTCTGGATGCCAGGTAATTATAAGGGCTTGGGCTATATATCCACTCCCAGAAAAATACCTTGTTTTGTCATTCTTGGAAACAGAATACTGTGGCAGCTGCATATTTCCTATGGCATTATGAAAATTACAGTACATATGCTGAACTGATCAGTTCTTTAGATACCCAAAACCGTAACAGTTAGCATAATCATTACTGATATTTAGTATCTGCAGTATAGAAATGATATAAATAGCTAGTCAGAATTGGTAACTCAGACTTGAAAAACAACAAGAAAAGCATTCTCAAATAAAATAAATTACTAATAACTACTAATACCAAAACAAAAAAAAAAAAAAAAAAAAAAAAAAAAAAAAAAAGATAAGACTAATTTAAAACATCTGCTCATAGTTGATGCAAAATTCTTTTGGGCTTTATTGTTGTTCTTTTGTTTTTTGAACAAGCATCCTCCTATTTCATTATATTGGCTCATGACATCAGAGGCAGATGGATGCTGGTGATGTAACAGTAGAGAATGAACCTTCTCACCAATATTCCATTACATTTTGTGGCCACGTGACAGATGATGGCTAAGGGGCAGCCTGACTGAATGGTGTCTGACATGGAAGTGCGTATGAAGCAAAGGTGTATTACTGAATTCCTCTACGAGGAAAAATTTGCACCCACTAATATTCATTCAGCAATGCATTCATTCACCAATGTTTATGGAGAGCAAACAGCAAATGATAAACACAGTGAGGTGGTGGGTGCTGAATTTCAGCACTGGCAATAGCAATAAGAAAGACAAGACATGCTCTGCAAGGCCACAGAGATTTCACACAAACATGGCATGAAGGCTCTTCTTCATCACTGGTGAAAATGTGTAGCTAATGATGGTGACTATGCTGAAAAATAGTGTTTTGTAGATGAGAATTTGCTCTATCAACCAGTGTTATTGCTCTTCGTACTTCTTGTAGTTTCCAGGGAAATAAATAGGAGGCATTATTTTCAGAGCAATATATGTATTTCAGAATTAGAAAAAAAAAGATAGATCCTTAATGCTGTTAAAATGTCTTAAAATTTTATTTCCTATATTGCATCTATTTATTTTTTGGGTTTTTTTTTTTTTGCTGCTGTTTGATTTTGTTCTTAAACACTGGGACAGTTGTGCATGATTACATGGATCACTTAATACTTCAATACTCCGTACTGGCAAAGACTTCCTCAAAAAAAAAAAAAAAAAAAGAAAAACAACTTTTCTTCAATATAATCTTATGTAAAATTTATTTGCCTCCATCATGTGAGAACTGCAGTATAAATGTCACTGTATTTTAAGCCCTTATACTATTATTATACTATCAGGGAATTTCTTAAAACATGTAAAATATTATTTTAGCTAATGTTGTGCTACACTCAGGCTTTTTGGTCCACTCTTTTGAGGTAAGCTACTTTTATTCCAGAAGCAAACTATGTTTTTTAAGTCATCCATGATCATTTACTGAATCCAAGGCAAAAAATAAATAATAAAATTCTTTCCCTTTTTTTCCTGGAGAAAAAAAAAAAAAAAAAAAAAAAAAAAGAGAGAGAGAAAAAAGAAAAAAGAAAGAACTTGATAAACTATTCAATGAATTATTCAAAGAAAGCACTTACGAGTGCAGAAAGCATAAAATTCTAATGCTTCAGCACCAATTGGTTCACTTAAAGTGCTCTCTTTGAATTACAAGCAAACCAATGGCTGATGACTGCAGTAAACTCCTCAGCTATTAACTATAGCTGCACAGTACAACAGCCATTTCATGGGCACGGTAAAGCAAAAAAGAACCTTCACAGCCAAGCTCCTATTTGTGTGCCTGAGCACACATCTAGCATTTCAGTCAGGATTCATTTCACCCAGCTCTTTACAGCATCTAAAAATGTAAATGTCTACATCTGAGTTAGTGACATTAGGTTCTTTTCAGAAGCAAAGATGGCAAATGGGATCTTCTAAGGGATTGTGTCATTCCTCACATGCATCACACCTTAAAACCTGCCTGATCCTCCCTACTGACTGTAAAATGAGTCTAAATCCAATAGACTCATTATAGACATCATCTGAGGTTAGCCTAATGAATGCTATCCTTACAGCATAAGCCACCCAAAGCCTGGCTCTATAGTAAGTGTGCTAATCCGTGAAGCCACTGGTGCCAAAGCAATACCAAAGGAGAAAAAAACCCAACAACAACAAAACAAACAAACAAACACGATAACCAGAAAACTGGGAGCACTATGCAAAGATTATTGAATTGCATTCTCATCAAAATATATCCATAGCATACTGTCTTCACTACAACTAAATTTCTAGGCAAGAACTACCTTACAATAAAGTTGAACACTACAAAGACTATCACCCTTATTCCACTTGAAGTACATTACATTGTTTGGTAACACTGCATTAATTCCATGTATGCTATACTTACAGTGTAAATATTCTACTACTAAAACCTGATTCCTCCCCAGAGTAATTACCAATGTCATATCGAATTAAACAAAATAGTAATTCATCTATGCATCTAGAGACTGACAGACAGGTACCAGGGCAAAAATTTAATTTTGGACAAACAACTTTAATCGTAATATGTAAAAATATTTGACTTAAAAGCACAAATTTTTAAAACAAGTATAAAATCAACTTATTCCATCTTCTACACGAGAAGACCAATTAGCACTGATCAGGCGCACTGGAAAGAAAGAACTGGCTTCAAAAAAGTAATTTGCAATAGCTTCCTGACTTCCCATTCAAACACAGTTCAGTATTTCATGACTGGCATGATTAGGACTGGCAATGTGCTTATTCAAATATCTTTAACAGTTGACAGTCTTGCTATTTGTCAGTCACTCTTTTTTTGTAAAGCTTCCAGAACAGAAAACATCAAGCTCACGTGTAAACTACTACTGAAGTAGCATCTGGCTTCTATAGACTTGTTTCAGACCTATCTATCTAGTTGTCAGTCCGGATATAGACCTGGAACTAAGAGCTCCAGTGGCAATGCTTCAGCTGTCCAAACTGATTTCTTGTCGCCCACAGCTTTGCTGCTGATATGGTAACATTCTCACTGCATTCCTGACAACGCACCATGAGTTGTTTAGCTAGAAAAATAAATGGCAAACTCTCTAAAGTTCCCTGAAGAGGGGAAGGAGAGACGGAGGTGCCAATCTCTGCTCCCGGGGAACCACTGCCATGACCTTTGGGAATGGCACAAAGTTATGCCAGGAGAGGTTCACTGGATATTAGGAAAAATGTATTTACCACAAGGGTAATCAAACAATGGTACAGGCTTCCTCTCCTAGAGAGGTGGTTGATTCCCCATGCCTGTCAGCGTTCAAGAGACATCTGGATAATACTCTCAATAATACACTACAACTTTTTTAGCCCTGAAGTGGTCAGGCAGTTGGACTGGTTGTTCTTTGTAGGTCCCTTTCAACTATTCCACTTGAACTGCAAAAATGAAAACAGAGAACTAAAAGGATAGCAATAGGGAATAATTAAGTTACCGCACTGTATCTAATAACAACAGCAACAAAAGTAATTAAAAACAAACTCTTTAAAACATTCCCAATTTTACTGGCTTTATGCAATAGCAAATGCTGAAAAACTTGCTTTAGTCAGCAGCATGGTTATAAAACAGTTTGCTTTCTCGTAAACAGAAAGCATTCCATAGTTATTTCTTGACATTCACCTCAAAAGCAAATTAGTATTTAGAGTACAATATTTCTTTGTGGAAACACAGGTAGAATAAATATGAAAACAGACCTTCCAAAATGCCACTAGCGAAACAAACATGGAAATAAGACTGTTCAAAACATTGTTAACAAAGTTAGTTGATTCTATTGACTCTTCTCTTTCCAATTAGCTAGTATTTTTAATAATGTATTAGTTCAGCGTGCCCCTTACCTTCTACTCAACAACCTTAAAACTCAATGTTTTGGGGTTTGTTTTTTGTTTGGTTGGTTGATTTTTTTTAATCTGAAGAGAGAATTCATAAGATTTGTACTACATATGAATAAAAAAGACAAGATGAGATGGTTCTGTTGCTGGTTCCAGAACCTTCTCTTTAGTCAGACAGACAGTTTCATCTAAAACTAGAAATGATGGGGAAAAAAAAAATGCCAAGCACACTGTCCATTCTGGCTGATTCTGTAACTCAAATGTTTTACCAGTTTTGTCCGAGTTTGCTCAAATTTATAAAATGCAACACACCACCAAAGAAGGCCAAGCCATAACGACAAACAAACCTATCGAACTTAGTATCATCAAAAATGCGCTTCACACAGAAACAAACATCATCTTCATAAGAAGCTGCTCTTTGCTTCAGAGATACAGACTAAGCATAGATGTGTGACTCTATTTGTACCAGTCACAATTTCATGTCCTAGGCACTTCCACTTGTGAAGGAATTCAACAAGTCATTTTCCCACAGCAACTTTCATTCTATTAAGATAGTGGCTTCACTAATAAAGGACCTTACAAATATTTGTGGCTTGCTGAAAGACTTAAAAGCCTCCAATTCAACTTTCTAATCACAGCTTACCTAAAGCATTGATGAAAATTGCAGTATAGGATTCTTAAATTAATAATAATTTCTTAATATAGTAACTTGAAATTACTAACTTCAACACTTCTTACGAAATTCCTGTACTTTTTCGTCAAAAATTATGCAGTTTGTAGACTGTAACTGTAAAAAAGCTGAATTCTTTAACATTTAGTATTAAAAACAGTGTTTAGAGAAATGATTAAGCATTACTGCATAATGCAGTCAGTACGGTTGACAAATGTTTTTAGGCCCTGCAGCGTACTAAAGGAATCAGTTCCCATGCAAAGATGACTTACAATTTCATCAGCAACATTAAATATAAGACACATATTTTGCTTAATTCCTACAGCTACTTGGACAGTAAAGTCTAAATTCTTGTAACAGAAAAGTTCACAGCCAACAGGTTATGCTTCACGACATTAAACGCAATTTGAATCCTGTAAAACAAAGCATTTCCAGCGGTGTTACCTCACCCTTTGCAATTCCCACTTTTCTATAAGATGCTCCACTTCACCTCCAAGAACTGCAGTGTTACTATCATCCAGCAGCAAGAATCCATTTCTTACTTCAATAATTCCAGAAAGTTTAATTTTTGTTCCAGGTGGAGTGTTCAAGCTAGAAGCAGAAACAAAACCAAGTATTTCAAAAACGTTATTTAATATTCTGCCATCAAAAGCCTACAAAACTATACTCCCATTATACTTTCATCATTGTTGTATTCCATTATAAATGATTAGCATCAAAAACCTTCACAATAATTCCTTCAGTACGCACAGCAGTTTTCAATAGCTTTTCTGGAACACTTCCCACTCATTATACAAAGATGCCATATTGCAAATTACATTCTAACAGAGATGAATGTTTGCAAATTATCTGTTTGGTTAAAATGCAATTTAACAGTACCAAACTAAGGATGCGATTTGTCTAGCCTAACAAAAGATGTGTCAAAGTCAGATGTCTAAGTATAAGTTCCTAATCCTAGTATTCATTTATAGTTGAGCAACAGAGGATTTCTAGATGCTTAATCAACTCATTTGTTTCAGATGTTTAACTTAGGAGAAAAAAAAAAAAAGTAGTTAGAAAAGACACCTTCTATACACTACTAACAGCCAGGACTGTTTCAGAATAAATACAGACTATGCACCTTGCGGTGCTGCTTCTCTCATTATTCTTTGCTTTGAAATCAGATATAGTTTCTCTGTGGACAGCTCCCACAAGTAGGTACCTATCTTCTTTGCATTTGAATCCATCCTATAAGAACAACAGCAGATGCATAGAAAAATCACTCATTTCCATGTCCTAACTGAAAGATATGACAAGCAGCAAAAGCTCGAAAGAATGATTTTTATTGCAAGACACAAAAGAGGACAGAGTCAATTATAACTTTCCAAATAGGAGACAATAATCTCTTCAAAATATCATAAATATATCACTGCAATTACAGAACAGTGCCACACACTCAGGATCAATCACAGTGGAGTCAGCCAATTCTAGTTCTAGTGACTTCAATCTCAGCAATATTAATGGATTTTCTGTATCATTCCGATAGAATAAAAAATGGAAAAGCTTATATCAGTACTACACAGTGAAGAGCTGTGATGTTTTGGAGATCCTATCTAAAAGCTTTCAGATTAGGTCTTCGACAATCGTGTGATCTAGAATCTATTCACACAGAAGTGTTTGCCTCCCTTTTCCGCTCTTTTTACATTCATATTGGAATGGGATATTCTAAGCTGTGATTGCTCAAGCTAAAATTGAAGTATTATTAAGTGCCTGACTTTTAAAACAGCATTACTCTAAACTGCAGGCTGGCTCTTACTCAGAAAAAGCAGTTGAACAGTAAAAGGAGACATTTAAAAACAAAGCATAAAAGTCTGTCCAACAGAAAAAGACACAGGAAGATGATCTTAAACCAAACTAATCTGGAATTAAGAGTAAAACAGACCATAACTCCAGAGACTATGCACTGGAAATCGTTCTCAACATATTAATGACCACACATCAAGAAATTCCCATACTCAGTTCTCTTGTATTTCATTTTTAACTGGTAAAAAAAAAAAATAAAAAAAAAAAAATCCCACAAAACAAAACAAAAACACCCTTTCAAAAGCAGCCTAAGTTAAAATCTTGGTCAGGGAAAAACATTACTAGCTGAATGAAGTTAGGCGCAACAGGCCTGTGACATGCTCATTACCAAGTCAGACAAAATATATGCCAAAAATGGAAATTTGGCTCAGGTTCATACACACCAAAAAGCGTGTTTGCCTTGTCAAGTCTGACTCAGCAGACAGCTGCAAAAATTCTCTTTCTTGCAGTATGTATTTCAGCATAAATTGTATTGTAAATTCCATAAATTTCATAAACTGTACTGTAATTTCACCTTCACATGTAACATTTAAGGTTCTCTTGAACATAAAAAAAAAATCTGAGAAGGAAACAAGAATAAACCAAAAACTACAACTGCCTGAAGTATTCACTAGTTTCATGCATCTCCACCAGATTTTGTCATAAAGGAGTTAATTTCGCATTTGTTAATGTCTCTTTATCCTGGAGGTTACTTATCATCTGGGTATCGCCTGGTAGAGCTGGAGGACAAATCAGTATCTCATAAAAAAGCTGTGGTACACAGAAGTGAATGAGGTGTTGTTTTGGTTCGATTTCACTTATTTAATATATAGAGGTAGAACTCTACTGACGTGCTACAACTTAACCTTAGATTTTCTTTCATTGGGGTTTCAAATGCAAAAGATGCAGCAGAACATGCAAGTTTTCTGTTAACACAGAGGACAGATAGCATAACTATATTAACTTTTACATTAGAAGAAAACAGTAAAGAAAAAGATCAAGAGAGATAAACAAGATAATCAAATTAAATGGGGAAGTCCTTCACAGGGAGAGTGGTTAGGCCCTGGAACGGGCTGCCCAGGGAGGTTGTGGATGCCCCGTCCTTGGACGTGTTCAAGGCCAGGTTGGACAGGGTCCTGGGCAACCTGATCTAAATGTGTATGTTTGGTGGCCCTGCTAGGCAGGGGGTTGGAACTACATGATCCTTGAGGTCCCTTCCAACCCGGGTGATTCTGTGATTCTGTAAATCTTTTGCAGTCCCAGTTTTCCATCAAAAAACAGCTTTCTTTCCATATATATTTCTAATTCCATTATTTTTAGGGCATTTAAGTGTGAAAGCAAAACTTTGAAAAGAAAGTCGCTCACCTTATTTTTGACATGCTATTGTATTCTATAGCTGTGCAGCTTGTATGTCCATCGGTCATCTGTAAACGTAACATTCTGGGTGCAGCCTGAGATTCCTCATTATCCTTTGGTGCAGAAACATTGCGTATTTTCTGTATTTGCAGAACACATGGCCCTTCCAGCTACATGCGCAAAACAGAAAAGAAAAAATGTTAACACCATAAAGCAAACACACTACAATATCAAGACATACTAACATGCCTCCAGGCAAAGTGAAGTGCGATTTTATCAGTCACTTACAATACCTATCATTCATACTTTATGCTGTAAAACATGACAAAAATGGCTTTTTATGAAAAACAGCTGTAATATTTCATACATATCTGCAATATTAACTATGGAAAAGAACTTAATGAAAAATTTATGGGGAAGGCCCTTGAAAAACTAACGAGGTTCAATAAGGCCAAGTGCGGAGTGCTGGGCAATCCCAGGTATTTACACAAACTGGGGGAAGATCTCCCTGAGAGCAGCCCTGCAGAGAAAGATTTGGGGGTTCTGGTGGACAAGTAACTGGACATGAGCCAACAGTGTATGCTTGCAGCCCAGAAGGCCAACTGTGTTCTGGGCTGCATTAAAAAAGGGGTGGCCAGCAGGGAGGTGATTGTCCCACTCTACTTGGTTCTTGTGAGGCCCCATCTGGAGCACTGCAGCAGGTCTGGGGGCCCCAGCACAAGAAAGATGCATAACTGCTAGAATGAGCCCAGAGGAGGGCCACTAAGATGTTCAGAGGGCTGGAGCATCCCTCCTATGAGGAAAGGTTGAGGGAACTGAGATTGTTTAGCTTGGAGAAGGCTCTGAGGAGACCTCATTACAGCCTTCCAGTACTTGAAGGGAGCATATAAACAACAGTGGGAACGGCTGTTTACAAGGGTGGACAGTGATAGGACAAGGGGGAATGGTTTTAAACAGAGACAGGGGAGGTTTAGGTTAGATATTAAGAGGAAGTTTTTCACACAGAGGGTGGTGATACACTGGAACAGGTTGCCCAAGGAGGTTGTGGATGCCCCATCTCTGGAGGCACTCAAGGCCAGGCTGCAGGTGGCTCTGGCAGCCTGGTCTGGTGGTTGGCAACCCTGCACATGGTAGGGGGTTTGAAACTAGATGATCATTGTGGTCCTTTTCAACCCAGACCATTCTATGATTCTATGATGAGAAGAGAGGAGAGAAAGGGATAATAAATAAATAAAATGAAAAACAAAGCAAAATAACAACAGTACACAAATGTTGTCATTTCTAAATAATATGGAGTTCAGGTAAGATCTCACACGCTGTACCACCAGTTTTCATAGACAAAGTGTTCTAAATTGAAAAACAACCAACTTTGAAGACTTACTGAAGTAGGACTACATTTCAAGTACAACCATTTTGTAAACACTAACTAGGAACACCTAATAACCTCAAGGGACGTGAGAGATTCTTGGTTACCTGAAAATGTAGTATATACTTCTATATATAACATAACTTATGTAAACAACAAAAAAAAGGAAATAAAAAACTACTTTCTTGAATTTGGGTTACAGCTGAATAAATAGTCAAGATGGTTTTTTTCTATTCCTTCACTTTGTAAGGAAGTAGGGTACACTCTGATTCCTCTGAGAAATAAAACTGAAAAAATGTGTTGCTTTACCACCCAAGAGACAGAAGAAAAGATGAAAAATGCACATTTCCTCAATTTCTTCCCTTTAAGAATGCAAAGACAAGGAAGCAAAGCTGAACTGGAATACTGTTAGAGCTTGAAATCATACAAACAGGAAAAAGAAAATTTCAGATCTGGATGCTTGCTTTTGTTTTTTAACAAACTGTTTGATAGACTCCTTAGAAATCCAGAGTGCAAAGAAATGAAGGCTAGGCTAACTATGAATATATATGCAAATAAATTCAGGTTTTCTTATCTACTGTGTCAGGCATGCATTACAATAAAGCACAGCTGCACATTTGTTGAGCTTAGACAATGATGTCTGCTTCTTCAACAAAGAAAACCATGTCATTACAAAAAAACAGGTGCAAAAGAAGAATAGAAGCATGTGGTTTTCTTAAATACATCCTATATTAATGACAAAACTATTTTTATGGACTTAAACAGGATTATAGAACTTCCCCATTTCCCAGTCTCAATTCAGCTCAGTTGATATTTCAGTTCTCATATAATCTTACGAGATCATATAATGATGGCAGGAAAATAAAGGCAGTCTTTCCGCAGAACAAGAAACACCTTCACAAGACAGTAGGTGAATCTAGAATCATAGAATGGCTTGGGCTGCAAGGAAACTCAACCATCATCTACTACCAATCCCTCTGCAGAGAGGGTTGATGGTCATTAAATCCCATATTACATCACGTATCCCATGGCCTCATCCAGCCCAGCCCTGAACACCTGCAGGGAGGAATATTCCACAACTTCTACGTGCAGCCTGTTCCAGCACCTCAGAATCCTCTCAGTGAAACATTTACACCTGACATCTTATCTAGATCTGCCCTCTTTCAGTTTAAAACCATTCCGCCTTGTTCTATCACTATCTACCCATGTAAAACACTGAATTTACCTTCCTCTTAAAAGCTCTCTTTAAGCATTATGAGACCACAATGAGGTCTCCCCAGAGCCTTCTCTTCTTCAGGCTGAACAAGCCCAGCTGCCTCAGGCTGTCTTTGTAGGACAGGTACTCCCAGCCCTCTGATCATCAAACCTATGCCAGGTCACCTTGTAGACTACTTTAAAGAATCAGCATTACTCACCCTGTAAAAATCATTTTAACTTGACAAAGTTAAAATTACACAGAAGGGGTATTTAATACTTAAAATTCCAAGTAGCTGGGTCTTGCTGATTATGCTAAATAGTCTCACCAAACTCAATGAGAGCTAGATTCTGAAGGTACCATTTCGATATTCATTACCCCAACACTAAAACCTTCCTAGATCACTCTGCTGTGCTTGATCACAGCTCCTTCAAGCCACAGACTCTCTCTTATCGCTTAGCACTTCAGCTAACTTCTAATGTAGAGATGAAAAATATGCAATTCTCACAAAATAATTTTCTAAAATTCTGCAAACTAAACTGTACTACACGGAACATAAGAATGAAGGCATCACCTAAATAATATAGGATTGAATACAAGAAAACATTCACTTCGAAAACATCTACTGACTGGACAAGTAACAAAGTACATATTAAGGCCAGAATGATGTGAAACACAGTTCAGATGTCCTTGTATTCAAGACAAGAGAAATAAGTATAAAAATAAATGAATTGCATATTTAATGCCAGACCACTGGGTGTATAAACAGCTTTCAATGGCTAAATCTAAAGGATGCAAATAAGTTAAGAGTACAAAACATAAGTAAAATAAACTAGGGAATGAGGTCTGGCTTTACCATTATTAATCTCATCATGAATAATCTGCTTAGCTTTTCAAGATGAAAAATAGAATACCATCTTATACTACATATATAGTGTTGTACTATATAATGTCATTACAGTATTCATACTATGTGTGAAAACTATTAGGTAAAACAGAACACAATCTTGAAACAGGAGAAAGAGACAAAAAAACACCTGGAAGTGTAGGTTTAATTAATTCTATTTGAAAATGAATTGCAAAAATTAGGCATGCACATTAACAGACATGATAATGAATTTCAAGAGTAAGCTACTGTTTTCTACAACAGACTGTATTAAAATCAAATACCAGTAATCCAGAATGTGCAAAAATGACAGGATCCCATTTCTTGGTGGTAGTTTCTTTTATTTTGGGTTCCTTTCTTTACAGCATATCAGCTTCCCTATTTCAGTGCATTACCCTTCTCATCGATGTTACTGACTAACCTCAGTAATGGCTTTTTTTTTTTTTAATTCTATTAAGCAAAATATTCGTCAAAATCTCACTCAGAAGTAAACTTCAGACCACCTTGCAACACCATCATCATTGTGTATTTATTTACTTATTTAGAGAGACGTTTATCAAGCAAACCATGATTAGACAAAGCTTAGATTTCCTCAGCTTATATTCCACAGACACATGGTATGAAACATCAGCACATACCACTCCTTCCTATTTATCCATAAAACCCAGCAGTGTTAATTCAAGAATGCACGACTCTTATACAAAAAAAAAAAAAAAAAAAAAAAAAAAACAGAGTAAGCAAATATCTACAAGGATAAAACGTACTCTAGTGTGGTAATTGAATTGAGTCCAGAAAGACTTTTCACTCACATACAGTTAGTTGAGAAGTATCTTCAACATGACTAAGCACAAGGACCACAGATAACATTCAGGGGGAAAAAAAAAAAAAAAAAAAAAATCTACACAGACTGGAGGGGGCTACTTCATCAATAGCTGGAAACATTATGTAAAACAAACCAATAACGCTTCCAGCAAATCCTTAAAGTAAGTATATTTAATAGCAGTTGTCTGAAAAATCCTTACACTGGCCACAGGGTCAGTTAAAGTATTAATGCACATAAATAGCATGGAATTAATAGCTTGATCCCTTAGAAAAAAAGAGATGTCCCAGATCAAGATAAGTACAACAACATCCAGTAGCACACAGAGTTGCCAAAGTATTGTGATTGTAGCAGAAAATAATATTTTAATAAATCTGTCCATTCTCATCCTGATGTTATAGGGGTAATATTTAAAACAATGCCTAATAACTACCTAATGATTTATAACAATATGGCCACTAGATAGTATTCTAGTGTTTTCAAGACACTGCTTTCCTAGTGGCATTGCTTTGACACACTCAACATGATCTGAAAACAAAAACTCAACCTTTTAGAAAGGTTTAAGCGATTACAGATAGCACTATATACTTTCTCCTCAAGAATACGAGTGGAAACTTGACTCTTTAAAGCTCTTGAAACAGGCATTAGGAGAGTTTGAGGACAAGAGCTTACCTAAAGCTGACAAACAGCTCTAAAATGACCATTATTCTGATTACCACATGCATTCACAGAAGTAAGCCTTGTCAAAATCATTCCCATTGAAAAAAAAAAAAAAAGTCATGGAAAGGAATACGTAGAATAATTTTTACATAAAGAGCTTCAAATAGCAGGACATCTGATATAGCATTGGGCAGTAAATGCAAGCATCTCAAGACTGGAACTTAACGGAGATCAGTTGTAGCT